AGGTAGCCCACTTACTATTACTTACTATAGCCCACTATAACAGACAGGCACATATACATACATACAGTCACACACACAAGACACACATACACACACACACACAGACACACATACACACATACAAAGACACATACATACAAACAGACAGGCACACACATACATACATACATACAGACATACAGACAGACATACAGACAGGCACACATACACACATACAGACACACACACACAAGACACATACATACAAACAGACAGGCACACATACATACATACATACATACAGACACACAGACAGGCACACATACACACATACACACACACACACACACACACACAAGACACATACATACAAACAGACAGGAACACATACATACAGACACACACACAGACATGCACACATATGTATAGACACACACATAAGACATACATACAAAGACACATACACACATACAGACAAACACAAGACACACATACATACAAAGACACATACATACAAAGACACACACACACACAACACATACATACAAATACAAGACACACATACATACACACATATATAGACAGACACACACACACAAGACATACATACAAAGACACACACACAAGACATACACACAAAGACACATACACACAAAGACACACTAAATATTTTAGTCACCCTCCTGTTTCCTACCTTTTAGGTGCAGGAGGGTGACATTCCCTGGGGTCCAGTGGTGGCTCAGGTGGATGGGAGTCAGAGTTCCTACTCTGACTCCATCTGCTTCCTCCCGCGCGGTCTGTGTGTTAGCTGGGAGGAGTGACGTGCAGTCACTTCCTCCCAGCTCTGTGATGTTAAACCGGACCCCCTTACAATCCACATCCATAGGGTGGCCCTGACAGCATGAGCCACCCGATGGACCCCATGGACGGCAGCCCCGGCGGTTTGCAGTGCGGGCCGGGGCCGCAAGTGGTGATGGCGGTATCCGGTCGCACGGGTACCGCTGGCTTGCACCCGCCCACACAATCTCTCAAAATCAGGAAATCCCTACCGCCCACCTGGAATCCTGAAATGCCCACTAGAGGGCGGTAGGGACCAGGTTGAAGACCCATGGTCTAAACCATTGGCAACAAAAGTGAGTATACCCCTGAGTGGAAATGTCCAAATTGGGCACAATTAGCCATTTGAGGATCTGAAAAAAAGAGGGAGCAGCAAAAAGAGGGAACAGCAAATTTACACTGTTATGCAGGCTGTACACTTACTACTTTACAACTTTACATTGTAGCAGAGTGTAATTTCTTCAGTGTTGTCACATGAAAAGATATAATAAAATATTTACAGAAATCTGAGGGGTGTACTCACTTTTGTGAGATACTGTACATGCCAGGTGAATGGATTGATTCTCAGGATATTATTTCTTCTTATTAGACACTCATTTCATGATTTATGTTTGTCAAGAATACCTGTTTCTTAATTAAAAGAATTAAAGGACCACTATAGGCACCCAGACCACTTCAGCTTAATGAAGTGGTCCGGGTGCCAGGTCCATCTAGGTTTCATCCTGCTATGAGAGAAACTGCTATGTTTACATATGGGATAATCCAGCCTCTAGTGGCTGTCTCACTGACAGCCGCTAGAGGTGCTTCCGCGCTCCTCACTGTGAAAATCACAGTGAGAAGACACCATAGTTTCCTATGGACTGACTGAATGCGCGCGCGGCTCTTGCCACGCATGCGCATTCAGCCGATGACGTTGGAAGGAGGAGGAGAGTCCCCAGCGCCGAGGGAGCCCGGCACTTGAGAATGGTAAGATTTTAACCCCTTCCTCCCACTTCAACCCGGTGGGAGGGGGGTCATGAGGGTGGGGGGGACCTATTAATACTATAGTGTCAGAAAAAATAAGTTTGTTTTCCTGGCACTATAGTGGTCCTTTAAGGCTATTGCTATGTTCTGACATGTTAGAATGTCAATGTAACCTGGATTTCGAACAATTTTCTAAGAACCATCAGCCACTGTCTCCATGGAATATTTGTGGTAGCACTGTGAAGGGTGCAGAGAGCTAATATATTGAGGAGCATTAAGTCTCCCTATGTAATAAACACTTTTATACATGCGAAGGGTTATTTCATAAAGCATTAATTTGTTTTAAAACATGCCATGCTCATTTTAAGATGCCTGAGTGTAACTTGAGTTGATGCAGACAGGGGATCTTGCAGATGGCAGTTTCTACCCAACACGTGAATTCAGTAGAAATTGTCAGAAGAATATTGTGTCAAAAAGTCCAATATTGCTTTAATGTGAAACTAAGGAAATACAGAGGCCAAAACATTTGTCCACCTCCAGATAGCTATCATGCGAACAGCTGTAAGTCGGTCAGAATAAATAAAGCAATGTTTAGAAAAAGTATACAGCATCTTTTCAAGCCTTTGAGTGTGTATTAAAACCCCCTTGCTTTTATTAAAAAAAAGCAGAGGTTATTTTGAGATGTTGGTTATTTAATAATTATCCTTATGCTTGTACTAGTTGTACAGTCTGTATGAACAGCATTAAAGCTCACATAGCATATATGTATAAAAAGAATAGGGATACAGCTGTATAATCTAAAAAGAATACATAAAAAAAAAATAGAAAAGTCTTTTTATTGTACCAAAAAAACATAAATGGTTTTCAAATAGTATAAATTAAAAATAAATTATCCTTGAGCTCAGGTCCTATGTGTTTCGTTCATACATAAACTTCCTCAGGGGCCTCAAATGATATAAAACAAATAAAATGCAGTAACATTTCGGTATACAATAAAAACCGCCTGAATTCCTTCCTCCCCGCAGTCCCATTATAAAGGAAATATCCTTCTTGTTCATTGGTGGTGGGGTGGATATCCTCTCTGTTTCCTCAGATGTTAAATCAGTAGTTACCAATCGTTTCTCTTTTTTTCTCCCGAACACTTTCTTTTACAGTTGTAAATCCTAATGTCCCTTCTTTGATGCCGCAACCAGCTTCTCATGCGCTCCAGAGAGCACTTTTGTGCGTTCAGGCAACGTCACTTCCGCTTTTGCGTTCCACCAAAGCTGGGTGTGCGTTCCACTGACGTCAGTTTTTAACTCGGAGACATCGCTATATAAATAAGATTCTATGGGCGTACCTGGAGCATTTGGCACCCGATGTGGATCCTACATTAAAAAATTCATTTTTCTGTAGTGTGGTTTTTGAATATGGTGGTGTGTTTTTATGTAGTGTTGACATTTGGATGCAGGGTTGTATTTGTGTGTAGTGTAGGCGAAATGCTGAGATGTATGCACATATACAGATACACAGACACAAAGGGACACACATGCAGTTACATAGAAACACAGTCATACACAGATACAGACAAATACTGGCACACATACAGATACAAACACACATACAGACACACACATATATACACACAGACACACCGAAACAAACACAGACACAAAAACAGATACACAGACACACAAACAGATACACATACAGATACACAGACATACAGATACACATGTATAAGTGTGTGTTTGTATTGTGAATGCAGTGTGTTTGCATAGTGAATGCAGTATGTTTGCATAGTGGATGCAGTGTGTGCGCTTGTATAGTGGATGCAGTCTGTGTAGTGGATGCAGTGTGTGTGTATATAGTCTATGCAATGTGTGTATAGTGTATGCAGTGTGTGTGTGTGTATAGTGTATGCAGCTTGTATGTATAGTGTATGCAGTGTGTGTATCGTGTATGCAGCTTGTATGTATAGTGTATGCAGTGTGTGTATAGTGTATGCAGCTTGTGTGTATAGTGTATGTGTTTCAGAGGTTAAGGAAGTTTTTAGTGTTTTTGCCAATGATATACGGCAGGTTGCTTCCACACTGTCATTCTCTGAAGTTCTGCCTGTGCATAACACTCAGAACGACAGGCGTATTAGGGACTTTAATTTGTGGCTTGGTGAATGGTATCGGGAACAAGGATTTGGCTTTATTTCTCATGGTAGCTCTGTTTGGAATGGAAATAACCTGTACAGAAAAGATGGTTTGCATCTTTCTCAAAAGGGAACAAATGTTCTCAGTGAGCAGTTCAGAGGTTTTGCTAGGATGTATTTAAACTAGGAGGGGGGGCAAAAGAGTGATAAAACATAAATCCAATTGTCCCCCAAAACAAGGACAGAAGGTGCCGGTAGCAAGTGTGTTAAAAAATGATAAGCTTGGAGTCATGTCTACAAATGCTTGCAGTTTAGGGAATAAGATCAATGTACGTGTGTCAATAATGGCAACTGATAGTGTAGATTTAGTCGCTGTTACTGAGACACGGTATAATGAGAAAAATGACTGGGACATAACAATACCAGGGTACTCTTTATATAGAAAAGACAGGGAAGGCAAGAAAGGGGGAGGGGTGGCCTTGTAGGTGGAGGATAGCATAAAATCTAGCCTAATAAAAGTTAGTGAGGCGAACATAGAGTCCGTTTGGGTTACGTTAGAATTTGGTAATCACACAATAACTCGTGTAGGTGTGATTTATAGGCCCCCAGGACAAACTGAAGAGTTAGATAATATACTAGTTGAGGAAATAGCTAAAATGACAATGAAGGGAGAAGTTATCATCATGGGTGACTTTAATCTTCCTGATGTGAATTGGAAAACAAAAAAAGCTGCTTGTGTAAGGAGCACACATATTCTAAACTCCCTACTGGGATTGCTTCTAAAACAAGTCATTGAGGAGCCAACTCGTAAAGAGGCCATACTAGATTTAGTGTAAACAAATGGAGATTTAGTATCAGATATTACAGTAGGTGAACATTTAGGATCCAGTGATCATCAGTCAGTGTGGTTTAATATAAGAACAGTGACTGAGTCACAACACACAAAAACAAAATTTTAGACTTTCGAAAAACAGACTTTTCTAAAATTAGAATATGTGTAGAGGAGTCATTATCAGACTGGAGCAATTTAAATGGAGTCCAAGAGAAATGGGATTATTTAAAAGTTGCACTACTGAAGGCAACAGAAAATTGCATTAGGCTTGTCAGTAAAAGCAAAAAAATTCAAGAAACCACTATGGTAGTCCGCAGATGTGGCCAAAATAGTTAAAAACAAAAAGTTAGCATTTAGTAATTATAAAAAAGCCCAGAGGAAGGAAAACAAAATGATCTATAAGATTAGGCAGAAAGAGGCTAAGCAAGTTATAAGAGCTTCCAAATCACACACAGAAGAGAAAATAGCACAGTCAGTAAAAAAGGGGGACAAAACTTTTTTTAGATACATAAATGAGAAAAGAAAAGTAATATAAGGATTAGTTAGATTAAAAACAAAAGAAGGAAGGTATGTAGAAGAGGATAAAGGTCTAGCTGACCGCCTCAATTAATATTTTTGTTCGGTATTTACAGATGAAAATGAAGGACAGGGACCTCAGTTAAGAAAAAGGATAAAAGAGTCATTTATTACACGTGTTTACAGAGGAAGTGGTTCTATTTCAACTGTCAAAAGTAAAGACAAATAAGTCAATGGGACCTGATGGAATACACCCAAAGCTATTAAAAGAGCTTAGTGGTGTACTAGCAAAACAATTAACAGATTTATTTAACCAATCATTGTTAACAGGAGTAGTCCCAGAAGATTGGAAGTTAGCGAATGTTGTGCCCATTCACAAGAAAGGTAATTTGGAGGAGTCGGGCAACTATAGACCAGTAAGCCTTACTTCAGTAGTGGGGGAAGTGATGGAAACCATGTTAAAGGATAGGATTGTTGAACATCTAAAACACATGGATTTCAAGATCAGAGACAACATGGGTTTACTTCAGGGAGATCATGCCAAACTAATCTTATTGATTTTTTTGATTGGGTAACTAAAATTATAGATCAGGGTGGTGCAGTAGACATTGCTTACCTAGATTTCAGTAAGGCTTTTGACACTGTTGCACATAGAAGGCTTATCAATAAACTGCAATCTTTAAGTTTGGATTCCAATATTGTTGAATGGGTAAGGCAGTGGCTGAGTGACAGGCAACAGAGGGTTGTAGGCAATGGAATATATTCAAAGCTTGGACTTGTCACCAGTGGGGTACCTCAGGGATCTGTACTTGGACCCATTCTCTTTAATATTTTTATTAGTGATATTGCAGAAGGTCTTGATGGTAAGGTATGTCTTTTTGCTGATGATACTAAGATATGTAACAGGGTTGATGTTCCAGGAGGGATAAGCCAAATGGCAAATGATTTAGGTAAACTAGAAAAATAGTCAGAATTGTGGCAACTGACATTTAATGTGGATAAGTGCATAAGATAATGCATCTTGGACGTAAAAAACCCAAGGGCAGAGTACAGAATATTTGATAGAGTCCTAACCTCAACATCTGAGGAAAGGGTTTTAGGGGTGATTATTTCTGATGACTTAAAGGTAGGCAGACAATGTAAAAGAGTAGCAGGAAATGCTAGCAGAATGCTTGGTTGTATAGTGAGAGGTATTAGCAGTAGAAAGAGGGAAGTGCTCATGCCATTGTACAGAACACTGGTGAGACCTCACTTGGAGTATTGTACATGGTACTGGAGACCATATCTTCAGAAGGATATTGATACCTTAGAGAGAGTTCAGAGAAGGGCTACTAAACTGGTTCATGGATTGCAGGATAAAACTTACCAGGAAAGTTTAAAGGATCTTAACATGTATAGCTTGGAGGAAAGACGAGACAGGGGGGATATGATAGAAACATTTAAATACATAAAGGGAATCAACACAGTAAAGGAGGAGACTATATTTAACCCCTTAAGGACACAACTTCTGGAATGAAAGGGAATCATGACGGAATATTTCCGGCATGTATCCTTAAGGGGTTAAAAGAAGAAAAACTACCACAACAAGAGAACACAGTCCTAAATTAGAGGTGCAAAGATTTAAAAACAATATCAGGAAGTATTACTTTACTGAGAGGGTAGTGGATGCATGGAATAGCCTTCCAGCTGAAGTGGTAGAGGTTAACACAGTAAAGGAGTTTAAGCATGCGTGGGATAGGCATATGGCTATCCTAACTATAAGATAAGGCCAGGGACTAATGAAAGTATTTAGAAAATTGGGCAGACTAGATGGGCCAAATGGTTCTTATCTGCCGTCACATTCTATGTTTCTATGTTTCTATAGTGTATGCAGTGTGTGTATAGTGTATGCAGCTTGTGTGTATAGTGTATCCAGTGTGTATAGTGTATGCAGCTTGTGTATATAGTGTATGCAGTGTGTGTATAGTGTATGCAGCTTATATGTTGAGTGTATGCAGTGTGTGTATAGTGTATGCAGCTTGTGTGTAAAGTGTATGCAGTGTGTGTACAGTGTATGCAGTGTGTGTATAGTGTATGCAGCTTGTGTGTATTGTATGTGTGTAGTGTATGCAGATGCAGTGTGTTTGTTGTGTGGAATAAGTGCTGGGAAGGTGAGCAGTGTGTATTGTCTGCCCCCGACTTACCTGTTCCACCCCCACTCTTATCTTTGTCGGGGGCACACACTACATTTCCTGGTGGTCCTGTGGCACAGAATAGATGTGCAGTGAAAAGGGACCCAGAACTCTCCATGCTCGTTTCCCATCCAGCAGCAGCAGGTCCTATGTTCTTGCGATCTGATTACAGAGGACGCCCCCGGTGCCCTCTTTCCCCCTTAGTACGCCACTATAAGGTTCCATTTAAATTAAAACAGTAATCTACTGGAGAAAACAGTATTAGAATTCAATTTGTCAAATATGACTGAAAGCCATTTCAAAATTATGATCCATATCACATTACAGTCGTTATATTCTTGAAGTACGCTTATCAAGTGTTCATTGGTAGTTGGGTGGATATCCTCCCTGTTTCCAAGGGTGTTCAATCAGAAGTTACCAATCGTTACTCCTTTTTTGTTAAAAAAAAAGCTCACATAGCACATATACATCCTCTGAGCAAAACAGGTTATTACCTAAAACAAATCTGTTGGATTCTTGTAACTTACAGTGATATGTATAAAGCAGGTTAATATACATTCTGTATTATGAGTATTTAGTATTATAATTGCGTGCTTTCTAGCCTGAAAAAATATGCTATCATTAACAAAACCTGAACAAAGACAAGGGTGCTTAATCCCTGTGGGCACATGTACATTCTCATCACATGCCGATTAACATTACAGTAGATTCAAAAGGCTTGCACATCTCAAAGCCAAGAGCATGACAAAGAATGCTGAAGTTCAGAACACTGTGCATAGTGGTTCGCAATTACTTATGCTCTTTTAAAAGGGTAATAATCCTTCTCCCCAAACGCAAATCCCCGGGCCCAGATGGCCTCTCAAACTACTACTATATCAAATTTATGGACCAATTAGCTCCTCACCTCTTACGACTGTTCAACAATATCAAGCAATCTGGTGACATGCCCCGAGAAATGCTAGAAGCTTTTATTGTAACTTTGCCAAAACCTAACAAACCCCCCACACAGTGCGCCAACCTGAGACCAATCTCGCTCCTTAACTCGGACACTAAATTATATGCCAAAATGTTAGCTACGAGGGTAAAGACGCTCTTCCCCACGCTCATCTCTGCTGAACAAGCAGGGTTTGTGCCAGGCAGACAGGTGAGGGATAACACCCGCCACTTCCTCAATCTTATTGACTGGGCAAACCACTCCTCTCAGCAAGGCCTGGTGTTGGCGTTAGACGCAGAAAAGGCGTTCGACTGCTTGCACTGGGGGTATATGACACACACTCTGACTAAAATGGGCCTTCCACAGAATTTTATCAATAGCATCCTTGCCCTATACCAATGCCCGTCGGCAAAGGTGTTTAGCACTGTTTTTTTGTCAGCGCCCTTCGCCATACGTAATGGCACACGCCAGGGCTGCCCACTATCGCCACTCATCTTCATCCTATGCCTCGAACCCCTAACACGAATCATAAAAGAAAGCACAATGATCCAAGGCCTGTCAACCCCGGGCGGCATACAGAAGTTGGCTTTATTTGCCGACGACATACTCATGTTCATAACACACCCCGACAGCTCCGACCCCGCTCTGCTAGATCTTCTCAAAGAGTACGGAGAAGTGTCGTTCTATAAGAACAACACTGCTAAGACACAAGCGTTACCGATAAATCTGCCACACCAAACACTAGCGCATCTAACCCTCAAGTACACCTTTGACTGGCGCACATCGTCGCTCACATATCTAGGGATTAAACTGACAAAAACCCACCAAGCCATAACAAGAGAAAACCATATCCCCGTAATACACAAATTGAGAGCAACTCTGGAGAAATGGGAGAACCTAGAGATCTCCTGGTTGGGTCGAGTGAATACAATTAAAATGATGGCTCTACCCCATATCTTGTATCTCTTCCGCACGATCCCAATAGCACTCCCTAACAAACTGATCAAATTAATGCAATCGGTTATCAATGCACATGTCTGGAAACGGAAACCCCCGAGAATAGCCCAGCGCAACCTCGGCTTCCCCTTCACCAAAGGAGGCCTGGGTATGCCAGATATCAACATTTACTACAGAGCCACGACTCTAGCACAGGGAGTACACATCCTAAGACTTAGAGACAGCTCCCAAAAGCCTCTGTGGCTGCCGCTGGAGGATACCCACCTACACCCACACAATACGTCCCGCATACTATGGACCAATGCCCTCGCTAAACCTGATGGGGCTTATTTATCACAATGCTCCCGCTTCCTGACGAGCTCGTGGCGGGCGTGGAGCCACCTGACCGTGGACCCGCACCTGCTCCTCAGAGAGGCGCCGCTAGAGGCCATGTCTATCTTTTCCCCTGACCTACCCACAGCGAGCTGGAAAGCCAAGGGCATACATTACATAAAGGATCTATTAGAGGGAGACAAAATCCAAGCGTTCCCTGACCTCCAACGAAAATTCTCCCTCCCCCAAAGAGACGTATTCCTCTACCTTAGAACAAAAAACATTTTACTGCCCCAAGCAAGCAGAACAAATGAAACGCCCAAAAACCTACCTCTCCTACCCGCTCAGATTCTTTCTACTAAACTAGGGAAACCCCTGTCCACGTGCTACAATGCCCTCCTGGAGGGTCAACTAGGTGAAGCAAGATCATATATGACACAATGGGAAGGTGAGCTAGACAAACAACTAACATTGGAGCACTGGTATGAGGCGATGTCAATCATAAAGGGTGCTTCCAAGAGCCTCTTGCTATGGGAGGCATACTGCAAAATAGCCATGAGATGGTACTTAGTACCGCACAAATTAGCGCGCATTTACAGGGGTTCCTCCGGGCTG